AAGCACCAGGAGCTGGGATAATTGGAAAAGCAGCAGCTTGCTTTCTGCAGGAGGGCAGTGTGTGTGTGTTACGGTTTCTGGTGAGCTTTCTGCAATTTGCAAATCAAAACCAAACAAAATCAACCAACTAAATCTTTTCCGGGGACATTCTGGATTTCCTCAGGCTATAAAAACGTTCAAAGCCTGTAAACACTTCAGACCTGTTTTCCTGCATTCCGTGCCTATGGCCTACCTGTGCCCTACAGCTAAGATGAAATCACTGTCTCACATGGATTCTTCCTAAAAGGTTACATTTGCAAGCTCTCGAAAAAATTTCCTCCCCAAATTGCCCATTGGAACCAGACAAGGGCCGCGATAGAAAATATTATAAATGGTGCTTTTTCTAGGGATAACGTGGGAAAGATGCAAACGCACAAGGGTAAAAGAGGGACCAGATCGAAAGATACTCATGAACGTTGATCGTAGCACTGTCGACATCTACTTTTTGTCAGAAACGTCATCACAGAGGTGAGGTGAGTAGCAGCTGGGAGTCAGGGTGGCAGCGTGGGCTCTGGCATGGCAGGGAACTCGTTTTCTCCCAGTCTGTCTGTTCCGTGAGCCGTCATCCCCCGACAGTTTGCTCACAGGCTGCTGCTTTTGCAGACCACGTGAGCGCAGGATTAAATTCATAGCTGGGAGGTAATTTTGTGGGTGTTTACCAAGTAAGAACCACACTGTTGGTGTCTGATGAAATCGAGACCCCTTTAATTTGCTTTTCCTTTAGTGGATGGGCACGCAGGACAAACCAGATCTTCTTGGGGCCAGTAGTAAGAGCATCCTAAAGAGTCAAATATCAGCCCTCTGCACAAAGTGACTGTCTGAGCTTTGCTATCAACAGTGTATTTTAGTAGTTTGTGTCAGTGTCCTGTCTTCCTAGCAGAGATGGAAGAAGCTCATACTAAATCCAAACTATCTTTGCGAGCTTTCTGGAAAATCTTTTATAGGTGTGTATTCTGACTGTCGTTATTTTGGCAAAGAACTAAAATACCTTGAGAGAAAAATCCTTGCTGCAGCAAAAAGCTGGCTATCTGAGGTTGTAGGAAATGCCACGCTATACCAGCCTTACCTTCCATGTAATCCTCAGCCTTGTGTCTTATGGAAGCCAGTTAGGTCCTTCAAAAAATAAAACGGGAACCGGAAAGCAGATAATTATAGCTAAGGGCCCAAATAAAGATGTGCTACTGCGAAATGCATAAAGCTGTGATTTTTAATGCTTCTGTGTGTCCCGTGTGCTATTTGGACTGATGGTCTCTGTGCTGGTCTAGTGCTTTACAGCTGTAAAGGACCAGACAGCCACGAGATGGGCTGCAGGAAGAAGCAGCAGGCGTTTGGCAGCTGGTCACCTGGCAAGCCTTAAAAAGAACAATTTTGCTCTTGCTCAGGGGATGGCCAAGGTAACATCCATCTTTCTCTTCTGGGTCTTTCCGCTTAGCTGGGTTACATAATTTGGTTACTCTTTGGACAAAACGTGGAAGAATGTACACGCTGTCGTGAATAATGAAAGGAAACGGGGAGAACGAGCACACTGGTTGCTCCATTATGTTTGCTTTGCCCTTTCTCCCATAAGCTCTTCAGTACAGAAATTCTTTCCTTTGGCCTCCCATTTTTTTTACTTCAGTTCATTTACTGTGAAGAATTATGAATGTGTTCTGTAAAATCGGTTGGGTTTTTTTCCTTACAAACACAGTAAAGGCTGTAGAGCTTTCCCTTTCTGTGAAGCTGATCTGCAACGATGAAAAGCTGTAGGCACTGGGTTTGGCTCGCTCTGTGTAAGGGAAACCTGTCAATCAACAAGAAATGCTGAGAGCAGCAACTGAAACACTTTGCTTTTTCCATCAGGCAACCAGGGCCTCTTTGAGGATTAAACCTATTACTAAATTTAGCTACGTCTCACTAGAGTTAGTATCAGGAGTTATCAGATCAGAACATCTTTGGAGGGAATGACGTCTGTCCCATGGAAGCCTAAGCCCTGGCATGCTTCTCCTACCCTGTGCTGCCGTTGGGAGCCGGGAACGTTCTGCACAGCCAGCAAGCATGGCACTCTTGAGACATCGTAGGACTTTTCAAAGCACTTGAAATACCTGCTCTGATCAGCCTGCTCCTGGTTGTTGTTCCGTCCAGGTCCTGAGCAAAGTGTGTTCTAACACTGAAATGGATGTCACAGGGGAGAAGGGTTAAAGCACGTGAGACGTTGCTTGCACTGACCCTCTTTTCCATTAGTTGGGTCATACAGAGACCCTAAATCTGGATATAACTGACATTCTCAACTGCTCTGATAAATTAAGGAATATTAATAAACATTTTAAAAGAGTTAGATCTGGGAGAAGACAAGTGAAACTCTTCAGAAAATAAATAGCCCTTTGCAGGTCCTCATTTAGTGAGCCAGGTAGATCAACTGTGTTGTGTTTTCCTTATCGCTCCCATCTCTGTGCCATGGAAGCAAGTTACTCCATCCCTCTAGGAAATGCCCAGCTCCCATTTTCATTCTAGCTGGAGCAGAGTCGTAAGGAAGAAGCGTACGTACAGGCAAACTAAGGCTTCCAAGAAGTGTAGAAGCAGCTCTGTAGAACCCTGTGTCCCTGCAGCAATGGTTAAAACATGCTACTTTTTGAAAGATCCATCTTTGCTTCTTGGAATGAAGGATACTGGTCTGGAATTGTACCAAAGACTACTAGCACAGAGCCATAGAAATTCAGGAAAGGTCCCATATCTCTCACTATGAAAAGTTTCACTAAATGAAACTTGTGACTCTTCTTTATGGCAGTTGTTTTCTCAATACTGATCCCATTCCAGATAAGGTACTTTAAAGGTGTACAGAGCTTTAAATTTTAACATCTCTTGGACTGTTTCTCCTGTCTGTTCTTGGCTAGCAGCTATGATTTGACTTCATCCAAAGGACTTTGAAGAGTAAGGACTCTGGCACTCGGAAAGCAGCAGCTAACAGTACCATGCTAAATATATATTCACACTCATTCAAAGCATTTTGGTATTTTTTCCAGTTTTAAACAGAAATACTGAAAATCACATATAAATGTGCTAGAATTGTGTGTGTGTGGTTGTATGTGATTGTGTATATTTACCTGTCCCAGGTGATTGTCCCCTTTCCTCTTATAGTGACAAAAGGAAAGACAGAATCAACTGGTGTAAACACCAAAGGAAGACAGTTTCCTTATTTTCCTCCCTGAAATCTCAAAAAGTCTGCTTGGGCAACACCCACTACGAGTCCCAACAAAAGCAAGGGACCTTTTGCCATGTTATTTTCATTTATAACACACTCGGGCATACTTGTAGGACGTATCAAAGTTTGATCTCTTTCTTCAGTTAGAATCATTTTGTTGTCAGGTCAAGGAGACTTTAAGCAGATGAAGGAGCGCGCGGCTTCCGAGGCTGGCGAGAGTAAAAGAAACACACACATTGCCTCAAGTGCCAGTGGACAGAGTCACTTCACAATTTTTATTTGTTGATGGCTTTTATAAAACAAAATTGCCCTTGAATCAGACATCCCATAAAACATTTATAGTCTTGTGCATGCTAGTGATACACCAGGTTTCAGTAGACCAGTATCTGCAAAACCAGACAGTTGAGTTGTCCGGTAGAATTCCTGGTTTCTACTGAAGGGGAGGAAAACACAAAATTAAGGCACTGTCAAAACCCAAGTGCACAAATCATTTGACCTTTTGTACTGGCTTTCACCTGGTTGTACACAAGAAATTTTTTTTAATTAACCATCTATTTCAATTTCGAACAGGGACACACGAAAAATAAAACTACTTTTATGAAATCCTCCTGTTTATATTCCCAGTTGCAAGATGACAGCAGCAGACCTTATTGCTGGAGATGGCAGCTGGAAGCCCAGTGCCACATCCCCGTGCATGCCGCGTTCAGCGCAGCAACCCCAGCCCTCAGAATGAGTTCTCGTCTTTTGGGTGCAGTGCTTAAGATGACACTTTTAAGAACAAAATCAGTTACAAGAGCAGCTTAAAACTAGTCTAAAAAGTCAGTGTTCACTAAGCAGGACAGGAACGAACTGAGACTCCTCCCTGAGCCATGCAAGGCATTTCATGTTCTTCACTTTATTGGGCACAAGCTGCTTTCACAGACCAGTAGTTTGGCCAAAAGGGACCTACAAAGGATAATTGGGATCTTCAGCTGATGTGCTTTTATCAGTCCTTTAAAGTAGTTTTAATTAGCTGGTGTGAAATCCACTTCTTCAGCCTTTATATCTTAATTTAAGAATACAGGAAATGTTCCTTCCTGTGGCCAGTGAGCGTTCAGGCACACCAAAACCACGGCTCCAGGCACAAACCAGCACGTAGCTGTGGGCTAAGGACCATGCTTAGAAGCATCCAATTCTCTAGATAAAGATGCAAAGTTTTAAAAAAGCCAGTTTCAGGTCCATTGATTAGGTGCCCTGGTGATGATAAATAAATAGTAATAAATACTTATTTACACTCGCACACCCTTCCTGTATCCCACAGGATTACAAACAAACCAGAGCCATGCTTCTTCCCTACTTACATATGATCAGGTTTGAGGTGGGACACACTGTTAGTACCACCGTGCAGCAACGCTACACAACAGTTCAGAACAGTTAACAGTACCGACACGTGGCACTCGGAGCATTTCACAGCTTCAAAGCTCTTGCAAACACAGACTTGGTTAAGAAAGTGACAATGTTCTACCCATTAAGAATCAGAGGGAACACAGGTGAGAGAACTGGAGTTTGGCTAGGACACCAGAGCGATGCCCTTACTGCATACAAAACGTCACATTAATTGGAGATATGGCAGATGTGGGAGCTAGGAAAAATTACATCAGGCTCATATGAGACCATTTAATTTCCTTGAGTAGGAAATCTAATTTTCACATTGATTGTGTCTAAACAGTTTGTTGTTTCGGTAGACAGCAGAAAGGTCAATGAAAATTCAAAGGAACATGTGAGCTGCAGGAGCACAAACCATTACCTCCATTCATAAATAAACACAGTGAAAGATTTTACATCAGTTGAAAATGCTGCCTCGTAATTGCTGACAGCTTGGGAACTGGCACCCACTTATCATCCTGGCACAAATCCACAAATCCCTGAAAATATGATCAGAATAGAGAGACAGAGACCAAGAAGCACGCAGCAGCACAGAGAGCACAAATGAAATTCAGGGACCCGCCTGGCCATGTCCTGGCTTCCACCTCTCCTCTGGAGTCTGGAGAGAGAGGGACTGGAGGATAAAGGAGGTTGCAGCTGGCTTTGAGACTCAGCTCTGGAAGAATTTTCTTGGCCTGTTTACTGTTTGGTTGCTTTTTTTATTCGGCTTTTTTTGCTTTCCGTTTCCTTGTGCCTTCATTTAGCTCCTCTTTTGACTTTGCAGGAGGAGGTGGAGGATGGGAAACCTCATGGGAGGCCCCATGCTGATCATGGTGATGACCGGCGTGTCCGCTGGAAACAGAGCCAAAGAAAACTGGGCAGATGAAGTTTTCCACTGGAGCAAAAGGTGAGGCGTGGGAGTGAGTTGCCGTCATGAACACCTGCCATGCAACAGTGAATACTTAAAGATCCCATATGCCACTTGTGACATACTAACTAGTAGGGGCATTCCACCTACCCCTATCCCTATTGCTGTATGACTTAAGGCTCTGTCACGAGGATCTTCTACCATACTGCCTATATGATGGAGAATTTCCTACAATTTCCTGAGCAGATCTTCCCTGGTACGGACAGCCAATGCCTTCAGTAGTGGTTTAGGAAGGTGAACGCCCCCAATTTACCTCTGTACCCTTTCTCTGATTCTGTAGATTTGTCACCAGCAAACCTGCTGTAAACTCACCTTGCAAATTATCATGAACATGGTGAAAAAGAAGATGAGGTTGGCTTCAGAGACGGGGAGCCAGTGAGTTTGTTGCAGAGTGAAGAGGACTGTGCCATACAGACTGGCCTTTGTAGGGCTAGAAGAGAAATAAAGTAGTTTTCTAGGTTTGCATCATTTGCATCCAGTCCTGAGTAGTTCTTTAAATTCCGTTTTCAGTCTGACAGAGAATTTACAGGCTACCTACTTACAAGGACATGTGAAGAATTTCATTTGTTTCTGGCTTCCAGACTCCGCGCAGCAGTTGCTCAAAGTTAGACATCAAGGCAACACCAGAACCTGTGAAACAGCAGAAGTGAACAGCTAGAACTCCCACACCAGAGGAGAGCTCTGCTGTCTTTCCTAGATCCCCAAGGGATAAGGATGACCTCAGGGGAACAGAAGGTTCATGACACTCTTCCCAAATTTAAAAGAAGTTATCCTAAAACAACAGAGCAGGGCAAATGCTTTTTAGACTTTCTATAAAAGTGTTTCCTGATGCAGGGAAAGGGCATTTACTGATGCTCAAACGCTTGCTCCGAACAAAAGCTAAAAGAAAACTGACTGGGCTGTTTCAACACTGACAGAAACCTCCTGCAAAGATACAGGTGAGGCCAGAGACAGCAGAACACAGGAGAAAGAATGACTAATTCCCAAATTCTACACCCATTTTGGTCATGACTCCAATTCTTCCTGCCTCCATTAAAGTTAGCTGATGACTCAACTGCCAACCTTTCTGCATGTATGAATGAATACCTGTGTTCTAGGGAACTTGATTGACTGGAGCCAGCTGACCACACCAGTGACCAGCCTGCTGGTCAGCACTCAGGGCTGTGGTCGCCTTAAGCTTCACTCTCAGATTCTCCCGTCCCTCCCTGCTGCATTGAGAGTATCTCATGTTTCACCTTTGACCCATCCAGTAGCCATCATAATGAACCACCCGTGGTGGTACCGGTGATGAGCGTGGTGGACCCCCGCTGCAATTTTGCGAACTCTGACCACCTCCTTCATTGCCACAAAGATGAGCTTCATAGGCAGGAAGCTGACGCACTTGTAGAAGAGGTTCATGGGACAGAAGAATATCAAATACCTGGAACAAAACCACAAAGTGCTTAAGGACCCATCTGTTTGTCCTGATCGGGATGTATAGAGAGGATTAAGAGTACTGTGGTGATGGCTGGAATTCTGTCAGGGAGAAGGAAGTGCAAAAGCACATACGACCCATACGCACCGAGGAACTTAAACTTGGAGTAACTGTGGTTAATTTGTGAACATTTCACTAACACAATGAAGAAAACGCCCCCAAATCTTCAGCGTGTGCCACTCCTCTGCTAGATGTGGTATCAGTGCAGCGCGTGCTGCTTTGGGGGCTTGGCCACAGTTCAGCTGCAGCAGCTATGAATAGCAATGCCCGGTGATTAGCTGGGACCCAACCCTTGCAATCACAAATGGACAACTGCTCAGAGAAACTGGAAACTGGATCTAGGAATACAAAACACTCAAAGACTACCTCACCTCACCCCTTCTTTCCCCAGTTAATCCAAGCAAGGTAATACGTGCGTGCTGCACAAACAGGACACCTCCCTTGACACCAGATGGTTTCGTGCACAGCCAGCGGCGTCTCACGCTTAATAAATCAGGTTTAAAGTTTAGTTTAGTCTTTTAAAGAAGTTTAAAAGACTCACCAGACTGCTGTGGCCAGGATGACACTGGAGTTATTACTGAAGTAATCAATAGGTGATTCTCCAAGCAACAGATCAGCAAGTATGTAACTTCCAAAGCAGTGGAGCATAGCACAGAGCCAGGAGGCAAAAGGGCTCTTACGAGACATCTCCACGGCTCCTGTGAAGCAAATTCCAAATGAGAAGACGGATTCAGCAAATAAGCAGAAACTTCAAGACCCTGTAAGAAAGAGGTTTGCGGTGCGTCTTCTCCAACAAAATAAGTCACAGAATCACAGAATGTCAGGGATTGAGGGGACCTCAAAGGATCATCTAGTCCAATCCCCCTGCCTGAGCAGGACCACAAGTGCTCGTAAAACAAAATGCAAAAATATGTGTGTTCTGTGAAGCCTGCACAAGTACCAGGTACTGTCAAGAAACGCGGTGTGTGATCGCAGCGTGCAGGCCCCCCGCAAGGTTTCGAATGAACTGAGCCATCAGAAGTTTCTGAAGTGGGCAGGAGTTTATCCCCTGCATTTGCTGCTACTTACTGTAATCGGAAAGAACATTTTTTCCCTTTAAATCAATTTCTTTTACAGTCTAAAAATAAAATGCATACTAGTACCATTCTCTCCATTGCTTCAACCTAGGTGCCCTCTAGATTTCATGAACAATCTGTTCAGCTCTTTCATTCATAAGATAACCTGTAAAAATAGAACAGTAATTCTTAATCTTTATTAGAAAGAAGAGGATTTGAGGATTCTTCCCTGCTCCTGTACTAGTTTGGAAATGCCCTCTGAAAACCCAACTGGATACTAAAACAGTGTTACTATTTGCTAATACATTATGGTCTCCTCCCACAACCTTCTATTGCCTTTTTTTTTAATTCCTCTAGCCATTTTCATCCACCTCTGTACTTCAAGGAAATCTCTCAAGAATATAAATTCTGTAAGATTGTTTTCATCACCCTAAACTGCTCCAGGGTCCTTTGTGCAGCATTTAAGATACCAAACTCTGTTCAGTAAGCCAGTAACAGGCAGTCAAGAGAGAGAACGCTAAAATGTTATGTCAATATTACTAACAGTGACCTGCCTTAAATAGCAGCAAGTGAATCAGCATACGCCGAAACTACGGCTGCTGATACTCTTCCATCCTCAAAGACATTCGAACCAGCTGAAAACACAGTGGAAGCGAGACAGCTGCAGCAGCCATGATCTGAAGCTGGTTCTATAGGAACTTGAAGTTTAGCTTAAGGCTTAAATTTAGTAACACTTGTTTTCCTTGGGCTCCGTGAAGCCACGCTGTCTCCAAGGAGGAAGCAGGACATCACTGTCCTGACACTGATCTTCAGCACAGGAGCTCTGGAATGAAGCAGTGTAGGAATCTAGTGAAAAGTACACCCCGGCCTTACCCAGTCCAAGCGGATTACTGGGCTTACATATTTTTAAAAGCTCTTTTCATAAGTGTTGCCTGTTAACTGTACTATGCAGGACTTAATGCTGGAAGACAGCTGTAAGTGATCAGTCCTGGAAAACCCAGCACTTCTGTTTACATGGAGTTTAAATAGAACAGTACGTAGATTGTACAACACAGAGCTCTCACAATTGGAGGATTTTAAAAAAAAAAAATCACACCAAAGCGTGAGGTTTTTTTTTCCTTCTCAGTCATCGGGCAGTTACACTGAAACTGTTCAAAACAGAGCATGAGGAGCGCACACACTATCAAAAATACGTAGAGAAGATGGCACTGGGGAGAGACCAAGGCATGGTCAGACTGCTGCAGCGCAGAAAGTGAAAGCTAAGATGCAGATCTATCAATCTTTACAAGATAAGCCCAAGAGAACAAACAAAGCAAGGTCGGTTAGGGTGCCTGAGGACAGATTATAGTCTGGGAGGGGGGGAAAAACCGAGGTTTTACTGACAGCCTTTTTGGATATAAACAGCAGGAGAGTATTGCCACAAAACAGAAAAGCGAAGCAACTGGACGGAAATGTGAGTCCTGGGATAGAGGCAAAGAAGTGACCGGACTTAAATCCTTCAACGCGGTCGGAATCCGATCTTAAATAAAACGCAAGGTAAATTTTCAAAAACCAGAGTGACTCGTTCTTGGGGTTTTTCTGCTTCGCGTTCAGCCACGCGTGCCGGAACCTCGGAAAAAGCCGCACGGCGGGGCCCGCGCCCGGCACCGCGGAGCAGGGGCCGCAGTTCTGCGCCAAAACCCCCCGCTTTG